GGGGGAGGGGGAGGACTTGAACTCACAGCACAGAAGCAAATTCTTTACGGTCATGGGAAACTGGCAATCTCGTCTTGTGCATACCTTAATATTTCCAAAATATTTGCTCAAGTGAAGGTAGGGCAAAAAAGGTGCAACACAGTTCAGGTTCTGTTTCTGCAACCTCTTAGGTAACTTAAGTATTCACAGATAGGTGAATATAATTGGTCAATAATCCACTTATTTTAGCCTCAGTTCTAATTAGGGACATGATAGCAGTGTTCCAATATCTCAGGGGCTGACAGAAAAAAGAGGGAGTCAAGCTATTCTCCAAAGCACCTGAAGGCAGGACAAGAAGCAACGGATAGAACCTAATCAAGGAGAGAAGCAACCTAGAACTAAGGAGAAACTTCCTGACAGTTAGAACAATTAACCAGTGGAACAGCCTGCCTCCAGAGGCTGTAAATGCTCCAACACTGGAAGTTTTTAAGAAGAGACTGGACAGCCATTTGTTCGAAATGGTATAGGGCAATGGTGGTGAACCTATGGCACGGGTGCCAGAGACGGCACTCGGAGCCCTCTCTGTGGGCACACATGCCATTACCCCAGCCTTGCCTCCCCCTGCGACCCTCTCCTCTCCAGCAGCCCCCCTGAAGGAAAGTCGCCCCAGAGCGTGGCCCACACGGAGCAGTGCAGCCAAGGACATGGCAGCCAAGCAGCGTAGACAAGACTGCCCTCACACCCCATCATGCAGTTGATGCTGCAGGGCGCATGCAGAGGGTGTGGCCGCCATAGCGCTGCTGGGCTGCCTGGGCGATCTGCGGCGGGCCCTGGAGGCGGTGAGTGGTCCTCTGGGCAGGCGGGGCGGGGGATGGGGGGCAGAGCGGTGGCGGGGCAGGGGGATAGAACAGGGCCGGGGCCAGTTTTTGGGCACTTGGTCTCTAAAAGGTTCGCCATCACTGGTATAGGGTTACCTGCCTGAGCATGGGGTTGGACTAGATGACCTCCAAGGTCCCTTCCAACTTTATTATTATTATTATAAATTATTTCATTTAGTCTTCAGCAATGAATGAGCACGATACAGCTACTTCTCAACGTCTAGCCCTTCATTCAGTGACCATTCAGAGTTAATGGTACTGAGTTAGCGGTACCGTTAACGGTATAGACTTGCAAACTATATCGGCATCCCCCTGGTCATGTGAACCACATTCAGGCATGGATTTAAAATGATAGGTGCATCCCAGGGTCACGTGATCCCCATTCGTGACCTGCCCAGCCAGCTTCTGACAAGCAAAGTTAACGGGGAAAACTGTTAAGAAGAGACTGGACAGCTGTTTTTGCAAACTGTTTTTGCTTAAAAACCTCATGATTCACTTAACAACTGCAGTATAGACAAACCCCGACTTATAACAGTTCGTTTAGGGCCCATTTGAAGTTACAACAGCACTAAATGTCCGAAATGGTATAGGGTTTTCTGCCTGAGCAGGGGGTTGGACTAGATGACCTCCAAGGTCCCTTCCGACTTTATTATTATTATTATTATTATTATTATTATTATTATTATTATTATTATTATTGATCATCGCACAGTCAGCCAGATGTTCAGACTGGATTTGGCATTTTGTCTACCTATCGAGTCCTTACCCAGGACCTGGGATAGGCAGATGTGGATGTTTGATGGTATTACAGATATCGTCGCAGGATGGAAGCAGTTCCTAGTAAGGCCGCCTTTTGCAATTGACTAATAGCGAATTTGTCAATGCCAATGGTGTTCAAGTGGTGCTCCAGTTGTTTTGGGATTGCACCCAAGGAGCCTATTACTATTGGTACTCCCTTGCTTGCTTTTGCCACAGTCTTTCTATTTCTATTTGTAGGTCTTTGTATTTTGTTATCTTCTCCAGTTCTTTCTCGTCTTTTCTGCTGTCTCCAGGCACTGCCACGTCCACTATCCAGACTTTTTTGTCTTTCTTATCGACAATTGTTAAGTCCGGGGTGTTATATTGCAGGCGCTTGTCTGTTTGAATTCCCATTATCATTTTCTATGACTTTCTCTATTTTATGATCCCACCAGTTGTTGTTGCTGTTGTTGTTGTTGTTATTATTAAAAGTAACAGCAACAACTGTTGCAGCATCCCCATGGTCACATGATCAGAATTCAGACGCTTGGCAACTGATTCATATTTATGACGGTTGCTGTGTCTTGGGGGGGGTCAGGCATTCTGACCAGCAAAGTCAACAGGGAAGCCAGATTTCACTTAACAACCGTGTTACTAAATTAACAACTGCAGCAATTCCCTTAACAACTGTGGCAAGAAAGGTCGTAAAATGGGGCAAAACTCTCTTAACTGTCTCTCTTAGCAACAGAAATTTTGGGCTGAATTGTGGCCGTTAAGTCAAGGACTACCGGTAATTCGTTTTAACTGTGACAAAAATATTGTAAAGTTGGACACATCTCGCTTAACAACCACCTTGCTTAGCGGCAGGAGTTCTAGTCCCAACTGCATTAACGGAGGGATAGAATCAGGATCAGGTGAAGTGTTAATACCACTTTACAATGCTTTGGGACGGCCACACCTGGAATACTGCATCCAGTTTTGGTCACCACGATGTAAAAAAAATGCTTAGAAAGAGTGCAGAGAAGAGCAACAAAGATGATTAGGGGACTGGAGGCTAAAATCTATAAGGAACGGCTGTTGGAATTTGGTATGTCTAGTTTAAGGAAGAGAAGGACGAGGGGGAACATGATAGCGGCATTCCAATATCTCAGGGGCTGCCCCAAAGAAGAGGGAATTAAGCTATTTTCCAAAGCACCTGAAGGCAGGACGAGAAGCAATGGATGGAAACTAATCAAGGAGAGAAGCAACCCAGAATTAAGGAGAAACTTCCTGACAGTGAGAACAATTAACCAGTGGAAGAACCTGCCTCCAGAAGCGGTGAATGCTCCAATACTGGAAGTTTTTAAGAAGAGACTGGACAGCCATTGTCCAAAATGGTATAGGGCAGTGGTTCTCAACCTTTTTAATGCCGCGATCCCCAACCGGTCGTAAGTCGAGGACTACTCAACCGGTCGTAAGTCGAGGACTACTCAACTGGTACAGCACCGTTTGCAGAATGGGACGGTTTGAGGCTACTGCGACAAACTTTCCTTTGCAGAATGGGACTTTTGGCGGGCTCAGCAGGGCAGAGACAGCCTGGACAATTCTATTGGCTTTTGAAAGCCAATAGAATTAGACTCTATTCAAGAGAGTCTATTCTATTGGCTTTCAAAAGCCAATAGAATAAAAGGGAGTAGCACAGCTAAGGAAAAGGGGGAAAAAATGGCGGACTGTGTTGTTTGGCGACCCCCGTGAAATGGTCGTTCGACCCCAAATGGGGTCCCGACCCACAGGTTGAGAACCACTGGTATAGGGTTTCCTCCTGAGAAGGGGGTTGGACTAGATGACCTCCAAGGTCCCTTCCAACTTTATTATTATCAATCATCGCACAGTCAGCCAGATGTTCAGACTGGATTTGGCATTTTGTCTACCTATCGAGTCCTTACCCAGGACCTGGGATAGGCAGATGTGGATGTTTGATGGTATTACAGATATCGTCGCAGGATGGAAGCAGTTCCTAATAAGGCCGCCTTTTGCAATTGACTAATAGCAAATTTGTCAATGCCAATGGTGTTCAAGTGGTGCTCCAGTTGTTTTGGGATTGCACCCAAGGAGCCTATACTATTGGTACTACCCTTGCTTGCTTTTGCCACAGTCTTTCTATTTCTATTTGTAGGTCTTGTATTTTGTTATCTTCTCCAGTTCTTTCTCTTCTATTCTGCTGTCTCCAGGCACTGCCACGTCCATTATCCAGACTTTTTTGTCTTTCTTATCGACAATTGTTAAGTCTGGGGTGTTATGTTGCAGGTGCTTGTCTGTTTGAATTCTGAAGTCCCAGAGCAGTTTAATTTTATCATTTTCTATGACTTTCTCTATTTTATGATCCACCAGTTTTTGCTTACAGGCAAATGATATTTTTTGCAGATCTTCCAATGCACCATTGTTGCTACTTTGTCATGTCGCTGCTTGTAATCAGTCTGTGCAATCTTCTTGCAACAGCTTACCAAGTGGTCCACTGTTTCTTCAGCTTCTTTGCATAGGCGGCACTTACTGTCTGTTGCTGTCTTCTCAATTTTGACTTTGTATGCATTTGTCCTTAAGGCTTGGTCTTGTGCAGCCAGAATTAGTCCCTCGGTCTCTTTCTTCAATTTTCCTGCTCTTAGCCATTGCCAGGTTTTATTATTATCTGCTTTCCCAGCTATTTTTTAATGTATTGGCCATGTAGTGCTTTGTCTTCCCATGCCTCTATTCTGTTCTTCATTTGGTCTTTCTTGTAGGCCAGTTTGGTCTCTCAGTAGTTAGTAAGCCTTCCTGATATACTAATTTCAGTGCACCTCATTATTATTATTATTATTATTATTATTATTATTATTATTATTATTATTATTATTATTTCGAGGGCTAATTGTAAATTTTCAAAGCAACTTTACTTTCAAACTACGGCTGTACTACGTAGCTCTTTCCCCGGAGCCAAAGCAATCTCTGCCCAGCTCCTTTCATTACTTTGGATCGGTTTTGAAGTGATTTCTTAATGCCTTTGAGGGGGGGGGGGACCAGGGTCCACTTGCTCCAAATAAAGGTGACTGCCAACGAACGTCATTAAATGCGGGTTTGTGCAAGAACAGTCTGCAAAACAGACTGTCAGGTTGGAATCCATTCCAGCTGAAAGATCAAGAAACAAAATTGATGTCATTGCTCTCCACCGGCCGCATGGCATCTGTGGAACCCGAGACTAATGTAGTTCAGGCAGTTTAGAGCGTTGGCAAATTGGGCTTGGCATGGGTGGCCCCTTGCATCACAGCGAAGAGCCACGATGTTGACCCGTGCTATATGTACCAGTGCAAGGATGTGGCCTTGGCAACCGAGCACTATTACTATTGAACCCTGGAGAGAATAGGGATATGCTTCTATTCATTTCAACAGATGGAGGGGAATATTGCTTGCAAAAGCCAAAATAAACATGGCTCTGTTTCTGAGCAATCTTCTCTTGTTGATTTAATGGTATAAATGTGCTTAGGCCGTTTCTCCAGGTCTACACTGCAAGCTAAACCTCTGCGTGAACAGGAAGCACCAGAGTGCCAAATGGGGCCTTTACGAAGAGGAAGCTTGATAGGGCAGGTATGTGTTTTATTTCTCCACTTATAAAAACGAGAGTAGAATTATCTAAATTGCTGCAACAGGTATAAGATGCAACAAAGAAAGATGGTGTGATTCTTAGATTCTTCAGTTACTATCTATCCTCTGCATCCTTGCATAAGGATAATCCCCATGGGATTCAGTGGGAGATTTCTAACAACTGTGCATAGAATTGGGTTCTAAGAGGTTTGGTTTAACCAGAAATGTTCCGAGCAAAAGAGAATCTATAATTGCAAAGTTTTGAATGTGTTAATTAAATTCAACTATATAAAAAGGTACAACAAAAAGTGAAAGTGATCTTGGATTCAAGCAACCCTTTTAACTCAATGATATAACTTTTTAATCAATATCAGTCTTAATTCCTGATAATTACATGGATACTTCATGTAGTTTTCTTAGCAACATTTCAGGAGTTTACATTTGAGAATGTAATGACTGTCCTCAAATCACCCAGCTATTTTTTGTGCCTAAGGCATGCTTAAAACTCTTTTGTCTTTCCTAGTTGGATGCATTTAACCATAATACCAAACCACAGTTCTATATAATTTCCCAATTTAGGCACTTCCATATATGTGAATTTTCAATTCCTAGAGTTCCTAGTCAAGTTTAATCCAGCATAGCCATTTAAGGATCAGCAAACATTGGTTGGGCCATGGATGCAATTAAACCTCATACATGCCGGTAGTTACTCAAAACTTAAGTCCCCAAGGGTAATGATTACAATATGCTTAAGACTGAAGCTTCATTAAGGAGAATGGAAACAGGTAGGATGAACAGGTATTCCATGGCAAAGGTTAATTTTAAGAGGACAGAAAGGTAGCATAATATATTTAAAAGGGACGATCACCTGTAGGCTGAGTGGGCTGGAAGAACAGGTAATACACCCGTTTTGCATCTAGGAAATCCCAAGTTTGATGCTAAAGAAACTCCTCCCCCAAATCCTGGAGAGCTATTGACTGTGTAAATACTGGAATTGGCAGTTTCCTCTGTTGGAAGATAAACTGGCAATTCCAGTCATAGTGGCAGAAAAATCCACACTCCTATGGTGTTGTTGTAAATGAGCAGAAATCCAGTAGAGGAGCTATCAGGTTGGGAGGATGGAAGGTTTCCAGCAGACCAAGAAGGCAGTAACCACACAAAGCCTCAGAGGTAGGAAGGTTGGGTTAAGGCAGAGGTTGGCAACCTGGCTCTTTTATGACTGGGTGGACTTCAGCTCCCAGAATTCCAAGCCAGCCATGCTGAGGGGAAAGGGAGAGTTTCCAAGCTGAGCCATGCTGGCTCAGGGATTCTGGGAGTTGAAATCCACGAGTCATAAAAGAGCCAAAGTTGCCTACCCCTGCCTAGGCCTAGGCCACTTTCTGACTGGTGGACTTCAACTCCCAGAATTCCTGAGCCAGCCATGCTGAGGGGAAAGGGAGGTTTCTAAGCTGAGCCATGCTGGCTCAGGAATTCTGGGAGTTGAAGTCCACGAGTCATAAAGCAACCTATACCTAGGCCAGAGGTAGGCAACCTTGGCTCTTTTATGACTGGTGGACTTCAACTCACAGAATTCCCAAGCCAGCATGCTGAGGGGAAAGGGAGAGTTTCCAAGCTGAGCCATGCTGGATCAGGGATTCTGGGAGCTGAAGTCCACGAGTCATAAAAGAGCCAAGATTTCCTATCCCTGGGTTAAGGTCTTCAGGAGTGTTGTTTATCCACAGCTTAACCTGGTTCCTGAATTAACCCGTTTCCCGGGTCTGCCCCATAAACTAAGGCGGGGAACAACCAAATTAAGCCACAAAAACAAGCTGAGGGGTAGTGGGATTGCCACTGCTAGATTTGCAACTGGCCTGGTTAAGGAGGCGCGTCCACACAACCAACGTTTGTTATTCTTGCAGAGTCCTTCAGCGCTTCCAGTTGCTTTCTAGAGCTCCGGGAGAGTTTATCTTCCTCTCTCTCTCGTCTCCCCCACAAAAAAAAGCCGAACCCCATAAAACATGCTTAAAAAGCAAACCTGCCCCTTCCCATCTCAGGCTGCCTGGGGCTTCCTTAGGTGCACTTCGCACATTCTCAGAGGAACGTCGCCTTTTGCACACGCTGCACCTGAGCCTCGCCAGCAGCGCATCCTCTGCACGCGTTTTCCTTCTCCTCTTTGCAACAGGCAGATGTTAGGTAGGTGAAGCTCGCCCGCCTCCGCTGCCCAGGCGGCGGGACTTTCCCCGGAGGCGTGGGTCCATATGCAATAACCTTGTTGGCCGGGGAGGATGGGACCGCAGCAGCCCACGCCCGGAGGGAAACCCAGGGAGACCGCCCAGTCAGCGGCAGACCACCTTGGCTCTTTTATGACTCGTGGACTTCAACTCCCAGAATTCCTGAGGCAGCATGGCTCAGCTTGGAAACCTCTCCCTTTCCCCTCAGCATGGTGGCTCAGGAATTCTGGGAGTTGAAGTCCACGAGTCATAAAAGAGCCCAGGTGGCCTACCCCTGGCCCAGCTGACCCGCGGCCACGTGGTCCAGGGCGGCACGTGACCAGGGCGGCCGCTCCATCATTGACCCGCCTCCGGCCGGGCAGCGAGACGAGGCGCCGAGATGGTGGCGCTGAAGGGGGGCTGCCGCGGCTGGTGGCTTCGCTGCGGCCGGTGAGCGAGCTAGGCCAGGCGGGCGGGTGACCAGTGGGCCTCCCGGGCCTCTTGGAGGGTGGCCTTGGGCGCTGCTGTTGCTGGGGGGGGCTCCATGCGGACCCGCGCCCTTGGGACTTCAGTTTCTAGCAACTCTTGTGTTAGAACAACCTTGGCCACTTTAAGACTGTGGACTTCAACTCCAGAATTCCTCAGCCAGCAAAGCTGGCTGAGGAATTCTGGGAGTTGAAGTCCACAAGTCTTAAAGTGGCCAAGGTTGAGGACCCCTGGCGTAGAGGGTGAATGGCAGACGATTCTGGGAATTGCAGTCCAAAAAATCTGGAGAGTCCTCTCCTCGTCTGGGTTCTTAGCCAGGGGGGCTTGCAAACCCGTGGCTGCATTGGCTTTACCTAGTGACTTGGATTAAGGTTAGGGTTGGCTGTTGGCTTGATTGTTTGGCTTATTTGTATTGGGAGAACTCCCATCTGCTCGCTCCGTTTGCCATGCAAAGCATTGGAAAAACTTCAAGCATAGTCTGAGCCGGGGGGGGGGCTGTTTTGCATTATTTGCACTCTGGGAACAGAACAAGTGGGTCATGACATGGGTTCCGTGATAGGTTTGTGATAGTTAGCCTGCTCAATAATAACATGGGTAGAACATATGCACCTCTCCTTAGTTAGTACATGGGCGTGCGCAAGGTATATCTGGAGCAGGGAGCTGCGGTTGTATCCTCTGAGTCTTGGACTCTGGCTGAGAGTATTGGGGGGAGGTGAATTCCACATGCACAATTGTGATATGTGGCTGCAACATGTGCAGGATCAGAATAATCTCTTTTAACTTTTCCAAGGACTTATGATGCACTGCAACTTGTTTAGTGGCCGGCCTTTTGGGTGTCATTCTGATCCTAAGCTAAGCATGGCCCACTTTTTACTCTGTGGGGCTGTGTTTAATAATAATAATAATGATGATAATAATAGAAATATCATTTGCCTGTAAGCAAGAACTGGTGGGATCATAAAATAGAGAAAGTCATAGAAAATGATAAATTAAACTGCTCTGGGACTTCAGAATTCAAACAGACAAGCACCTGCAACATAACACCCCAGACTTAACAATTGTCGATAAGGACGTGGCAGTGCCTGGAGACAGCAGAATAGACGACAAAGAACTGGAGAAGATAACCAAATACAAAGACCTACAAATAGAAATAGAAAGACTGTGGCAAAGGCAAGCAAGGGTAGTACCAATAGTCATAGGCGCCTTGGGTGCAATCCCAAAACAACTGGAGCACCACTTGAACACCATCATCGGCATTGACAAATTGGCCATTAGTCAATTGCAAAAGGCGGCCTTACTAGGAATTGCTTCCATCTTGCGATGATATCTGTAATACCATCAAACATCCACATCTGCCTATCCCAGGTCCTTGGGAAGGACTCGATAGGTAGACAGAAATGCCAAATCCAGTTTGAACATCTGGCTGACTGTGCGATGATCAATATTAATAATAATACCGTATTTTCCGGCGTATAAGACGACTGGGCGTATAAGATGACCCCTGACTTTGGAGAAGATTTGCATGGTTAGAAATCGTCTTATGCGCCGGAAAATACAGTATATTGAAAGGGCAAGGAAGGAAATAGGTCAATATAGCATATATAGCAGGGGTGTCAAACTCGCCACATCATGTGACGTGTTGCAACATGTCACGACTTTTTTTGCACTGCCAGCTGGGGTAGGAACTGCCTCAGCATGATGCAGCCAGCCTGCAGGCCGGCAGTTTGACACCCCTGATATATAGGTAGTCCTCAACATGACCCCAACTGAGCCCAGAATTTCTGTTGCTAAGCAAGACAGTTGAGTTTTGCCCCGTTTTATGACCTTTCTTGCCAGAGATATTAAGTGAATCATTACAGTTGTTAATAACCTGGTTGTTAAGTGAATCTGGCTTCCCCACTAACTTTGCTTATCAGAAGGTTGCAAAAGGTGTTCATATGACCCCAAGACACTGCAGCCATCATAAATATGGTATGGGTCAGTTGCCAAGTGTCTGAATTTTCATCATGTGACCATGGAGAGGCTGCAACAGTCGTAGGGGTGAAAAACGATCATGTCACTTTTTTTAGTGCCGTTTTAATTTTGAACAATCACTAAACAAATTGCTGTAAGTTGAAGACTACCTGTATATGCAGGGCTAGGGCTTTCTGCTAGGACTTTTATGTGGGTGGAGATGATTAATAATCATGCTTCAGTAGCACTCAAACCTTTGAGCCTCATCCTCTGAATAACTTAGTACTGCTGCTTCAAGGGCATTCCTAGGTTGCCTCTTCATGCAGCTGCCTATTTACATTCATGAACAAACAAACTGGGAAAAGCCTTTGAACAGCCATGTTGAGCTTTCTGGCAGATATGGCTGCTTCAGTGTTTGTGGAGGTGTGCATTGCTTGTGGCCATATGCTTCCTGAAGTTTTTTGCATGCTTTGTACAGCCTTAAGTTTCATGTATTTTGCACCTGAAAATATGCAAAAATATAGTTTTTAAGTAGTTGGGGAAGGGTCCAGAGGCCACTAAATAGTGGCTTGGGAGCCACAGATAACTATGAAGTGTCAGATTACCCACTCCTGTCTTAAATGAATGGAGAAAGCATCCTAGAATATATTTATGATCTATCTAAAACTGCACAACAGAAGAGGATAGGTAGCCAGGAAGGACAGCTGATAAAAGTTGATATATGGGTAAATCACTTAACTACCACCCATTTTACAGTGAACCTTTAACTTGGAAGTTTCCTGCAGCATAGAACACAGTGGTTTTCAAAAACAGATGTTTGAAAACAGCAGCCATACTCTGCATTGAAGAAGTGTATATAGTATCTGCATGCAGGAATGTCTTAGGACAGTGGTGAATTACACCCCAAGGACATGAAGCAGTATAAAAGGAGAAACCCGGTCAAATAACAGTAGTTAAAAAAAGGCAGGTGTTTCTTGCTGAGCTATCCTAAGAGAGATTGAAAGCTACCTGATTTTGGATCCTCTAGCTTAGCATTGCCTGAAATCTGGGGCAGTGATGGGCCATGATTTCTAAAAGGCCTTTCCCAGCCCTATCTGGATGTGCCAAGACTGGCACACAGCCTTTGTGCTTCAGAATGGATTATCACTGTGCCAAGGCATTTATTTTCCAAAGGTGAGACTTGAGGCTGACCAGTGCTACTCAATGAAGCATCTGTAATTGGATGCCAGCTCTGTACAGATGTTATGCAAACAAAATAAGTTGGAATGGAAGCAATATTCCAAAAGCTTAGTCATGAAACAGCCTTTGCTGCTTTGGACTTTGTTCTGAGTGCAAGGTAAAATTTTTTTTTACTACTTCAGGAATAAAAGTAAATTTTAAAAATTGTTTGAAATTACAAGTGCCAGCCTTGTGCTACCGTTAATAAGGTCTTCCTGGGCCTGATGCCTTCTAAAGACAAACTGCAATCCCATGACTCTCAAGGAGTTATAATCTGACATATCTGGAGTAAAATAACTTTTCTTCTTGCATTTGATACGCTCAGGACGCTATACACCAGGGGTGTCAAACTCAATTTCATTGAGGGACGCATCAGCATTGCGGTTGCCCTCGGGGGGGTGTGTGGCCAGGGTGGGTGCAGCCTACTGGGTGGGTGTGGATGGAGTGGGTGTGGCCTACTGGGTGGGTGTGGCCAGCTCTACATCATTCGCATCTAGGGTGCCTTGGGGGCCTGGGCAGGAGTGGGACAGATCTGAGGGTCTCTGGCAGAAGGGGGTGGGACCAGGGCAGAGCCCATCAAGCTGGATATGTGAAGTAGGTGAGGGCCATTTTCTGGCCACTTCCAGGCGATGGTCCATTTCTTCATTCCTCACAAAGGGTGACCCCTCCCCAGCATGCACCCAGGGGCCGAGGCCGACGGGGCAGGGGCTGGTTCCTCGCTGTTTCCAGATGGCCTTGTAGAGCTAAGACTGAATGCATTTCAGCATAGATGGCCACCACAAAATTGTACATTGGCTCCCGGCTGGTCTGGGCCAGGGCCAAGGCAATGGGGGCCGTTACCTCACTGTTTCCAGGATGGCTTCGTGGGCCACATGAAACCACTTCGCAGGCCGCATCCAGCCCCCGGGCCTTATGTTTGACATGTCTGCTATAGATGATCTACCGGATTGGCATTCTTTCTTTTCTTTCCCTTCTTGTGCAGCTCAGTTTAACCACAGCTGGAACATTTCCCAAGCATGTGAAAATTGTTGAGGTTGGTCCACGGGATGGTTTGCAGAATGAAAAGGTAAGTGACCTCTGCTAAACTATGTTTGGCTTGTGGCTGAAATCTGAAATAAGCAGCTTTGGTGGTTTTGTGCTTGTGAAATGAATGTGTTGACATCAATGCTGTTTTGATTTTTCTCTTAGGTAGTATATTGACATAGCTTAAAAAAAATCAACCCTCAATCCATGTTCCCTGAATTGCTGTCAGTTTAATTACTTGAAATATGCTGGTATGCAGCAGTAAATTAGTGTTTACTCAAAATGCCCATTTGGGAGAGTGGATTTGGACTTATGACCATGTGATTTGCTTAGTGACCGCCTTAACAACGGTCAAAAATCAGGCCCAGGCACATCGTGTCCTGACTTACGACCGCAATGACTTACGACTGAAATTCCGGTCCCAATTGTGGCTGTAAGTTGAGCACTAGTTGTAATCAATGAGGTTGTTAAGTGAGTTAACACATGACTGTGCCTGATTTTACAACCGCCTTTTGCTGTGGTGGTTAAGCGAATCTGGCTTTGTCCGTTGACTTTGTTTTGGGAAGCCAACTGGGAAGTAAATGGTGATCACATGACCTGGGAGACATCAGCCTTTGTAAATACATGCTGATTGCCAAGCACCCAAATTGCAAACAAGAGGATGCTGCAGTGGTTATAAACACAAAGTCCAGTCATAAGTCACTAATTTCAGCACTGTTCTGACTTTGCCCAGTTGCTAAATGCGTGGTCATAAATTGAGGACTGCTTGTATTCAGAATCCCAAGTAGAGAGTTAGTTTGAGACTGACCCAAATGTTTTCCCATTGCAAAGTCCGGCTGGCTTTGGCAAACTTGGGAAAAGGAAATGTTTACAAATCTGACTGATGTCACAAAGTCAACAAAATTAACTCCGGCAAATGTGTTTCTGTTTATTTATAATAGGGATGTTGTTCCTGTGTGCCTGTTCGTTTGCGGGCTCCTTTTTAAAAATCCACGGTTAGGGAAGAATATATAAAGGAGCAAAAATGGGAAATGTTATAGAATGTAGTGATTCCGCCACCAACTAAATGTCGAGAGGGAAATACAGTTATGGAATTGCTGTTAAAGGGGAATTCTCTCTTGCTCTCTTTTTCCAGAATATTGTTCCCACTCGGGTGAAAATTGACTTAATCAACATGCTCTCAGAGACGGGTCTTTCCGTTATAGAAGCCACCAGTTTTGTCTCTCCAAAATGGGTACCACAGGTCAGTATGGATAAAGAGGTAAAGGAGTTGGCTAAACAAGCTACAGTTACTTTGCTCCTTTGCAAAACCCAGATGGGCTTATTCAACATACCACGATTAAAGCAAATTGTGGCTTAGTTTTTGGTATAAATCAGGGGTCTTCCAACTTGGCTCTTTTATGACTTGTGGACTTCAACTCCCAGAATTCCTCAGCCAGGCGTGCTGCCTGAGGAATTCTGGAAGTTGAAGTCCACAAGTCATAAAAGGGCCAAGTTGGAAGACCCCTGCTATAAATGAATATCTCATCTTGGTTTCTATAGTAATGAGAGGAACCGTTTATGTTTTTCCAGCTAATTGCAGTAAATGCTGAACGGAAGGGCTGGAGGTGTTCTACACCAGGGGTGTCCATCCTTAGCAACTTTGAGACCTGTGGGTTTCAACTCGTGCTGGCTGGGGTGTTCTGGGAGTTGAAGTCCACAAGTCTCAAAGTTGCAGACTCCTGTTCTAGAGTTACAAAGAATGACTAGTGATCGCAATTTAGTACAGCGTGTGGCACATTTGTTTCTGTGGAATTAAAACCTGCCGTTTGTTCTTCATTTTTGTACCAAGATGGCTGACCACACAGAAGTTATGCAAGGCATCCGGAAGGTCCCTGGGGTCAGCTATCCTGTTCTGACACCCAACCTCAAGGGATTTGAAGCAGCGGTAAGAGGAACCTGCAGTCCAAAATCTCTTAGGTCCTTGCAGTAGTGGGGAATGTATTAATGAACGGAGCTGTAAGATCTGTTGTACTGTTCTCTCACAGTGCTCTTTGACAGGTACAGGAAGTCCTCAAGTTATGACCATAATGGTTGTAAGTTGTGGTCTTTTTTCCTTGTGGTTGTTAAGCGAATCCACAGTTGCCTGTGGGCCAGTATTACCGAAAATTGGACGTAAAGTGCCAGTTTTCAACAAAACTGTCTTAAATTGAGGTCACGTGACCACAGGGCTACCCCAGGTAGGCCTGTCAGGATTTAAAACAGTCACTAAGCACGTGGTCGTAAGTCGAGGAATACCTATATATAGTTATTATCTCAGTCTTAATTGAAAAAGCATATCCCATATCTCAGGGGTACTCAACCTTGGCTCTCTTATGACTCGTGGACTTCAACTCCCAGAATTCCTGAGCCAGCCACACTGAGGGGAAAGGGAGAGGTTTCCATGCTGAGCCATGCTGGCTCAGGAATTCTGGGAGTGAAGTCCACGAGTCATAAAAGAGCCAAGGTTGACTACCCCTGATCTAGGTGTATCTATCTATTCTGTCTGTCTGTCATCTAGGTCAGGGGTAGGCAACCTTGGCTCTCTTATGACTCGTGGACTTCAACTCCCAGAATTCTTGAGCCAGCATGGCTCAGCTTGGAAAGCTCTCCCTTTCCCCTCAGCATGGCTGGCTCAGGAATTCTGGGAGTTGAAGTCCACGAGTCATAAAAGAGCCAAGGTTGCCTACCCCTATCCTAGGACGAAGATTAAAAGCAGGGGTCTTCAAACTTGGCCCTTATGACTCGTGGACTTCAACTCCCAGAATTCTTGAGCCAGCATGGCTCAGCTTGGAAAGCTCTCCCTTTCCCCTCAGCATGGCTGGCTCAGGAATTCTGGGAGTTGAAGTCCACGAGTCATAAAAGAGCCAAGGTTGACTACCCCTGCCATATCTTAAGTCAGGCCTATCGCCAGCCTAGGCTGAATTGAGCAGCTAAAGCTGGCTCACCCATTCATTGCTTTGGACATCTGAGGAACTGCCTTTCTGATTTCTCATCCAGAGCATCTGCTTCCCTGTGTCCTGAGCAAGTGGTGGTGGGGCTTGTGTCCCAGCCAGTTGCCCGCTAGGCGTTGCTGTGACTTTTAATGGATCTTCAGGATGAGATGCCTTAGGAAGGGTTTGTGGCATTGGCTTGCAAAGGCTCAAAATTTCAATCTGAGAAGTTCTGCAAAGCAATGCAAATAAGAGAAACAACGGAAGGTGGAATGAGTGAGTGGTGAACCTGGCCCAGAAACAGGAGACTATGGGTTCTAGTTCCACTGTAGGGATGAAAGCCAGCTGGGTGACCTTGGACAGTCAATCTCAGCCTAACGTCGCTTATAGGGTTGTTTCTGTGGGAAAAAACAGGAAGAAGGAGTATTAGAGGTATGTTTGCCATCTTGTGGTGGGATCTCTAGCTGGGGGGGGGAGGAGTGAAGAGGGGACTGAGCTTAGAGCTCGGGGGGGGGGGCTTACACCCCCCAGAATCTCTGCAGTCTTATCTGACTCTCCCAACGAGAATCCGATGAAATTCTTGTAAACAGGCACTGCAACAATAAAAAAGTGACTTTGATCAGTTCACAGGGTGGTTCTACTTCCTCGTGCCTGATACTTATAAAGCAGTGTTTCCCAACCTTGACAATTTTAAGGCATGTGGACTTCAACTCCCAGAATTCCACAGCCAGCATTGCTGGCTGTGGAATTCTGGGAGTTGAAGTCCACATGCCTTAAAATGGTCAAGGTTGAGAAACACTGTTATAAAGGAATAAAGGATGGATAAAAACCTAATGAAGTAAATAATAGATAAACTCGTCATGAGAGAGAGGGAACTCTGGGAACAAGTGCTAGGCTTTTCTGAACAGAGAAAAGTGTAGTATCTAAGGGTCAACGCTGCTAACATCGGATGTTCTTGCTTTGACAATATGCGAAGACGCAGCCATTTTCTCTTCAACCTGTGTATTACTTTTAGAGTTCGAATTAGATGGTGCTGGAGGGGAGGGGGAAGAATGTGCATGGGGATTAGTTAGACATAACAATATCTCAGTAGAATATTCTTCAAGGTTGTTTGTAATAAGAGGAGATAAGAAATGGCAAAAGGGAAAGTTCGCACTTCAAACTAATTGGAGAATGTGATTAATGACTGTTAAATGGAGGAGTGAATTATGCTTGGATACTATGTGTTTAGGGGAGGAGAATTCAGATTTTGGCTTCTGCCTATGTACGTGCCGAAGCTATGTTGCTCAATTAAAGATTCTTTAAGGTAAACAATGCCTCAAAGTTCGTTGAAGAGTTTCATTTTTTGGAACCATGACACTAAGCTCTTTCTGACATGGTTGGTAGGTGGCAGCCGGAGCCAAGGAAGTGTCAATCTTCGGAGCAGCTTCCGAGGCCTTCACAAAAAAGAACATCAACTGTTCCATAGACGAGAGTCTGCAAAGGTTCGGCGATGTTCTGCAGGCATCAAAAGGAGCCAGTATTCCCGTCCGAGGGTAAATATTAGCACTGCATGCTGATTTTGGTGATGAACAAGCATCCTTATGTGTAGTCCTTGAAAAAGAGGAAGGCAGGCTGAGACATGGAAGAAAGAGGGATCTAAGCAGGAAGACTATCCAGAAAACACAAAAATGTTCCTCTTCGCTCGGTCTTCCCCAGTCTGGCACTCTTCAAGTGTGTTCACCCTGCAACTCCTAGAATTTCATGTTATCATGGAAGTTCTGTTTAGCAGCTAGTCCTCATAATGAAATGTCTCCTTCTCCTCTGTAGATGTTTTTTTTAAAAAACCTATTCCCTTTGTAATGCTATTGGTGGGAAGAGGTTGCATTGCATCTGTCCCCCATCAAAAGGTATTATGTTATGGATAAATCTCTCATGAATGAAGCGAGAGGAGGCCGGGCCTGCTGATTTTCATTAACTGATCTCCATGATTTTCCCTGACAACATTGCATTTTTTTTCCTCCTTCTCCATGCAGCTACGTCTCCTGCGTTCTCGGCTGCCCTTATGAAGGAAAGATTTCTCCCGCTAAAGTGGCAGAGGTGAGTTCATGTTGCTTGCCTGTTCAGAAGAGGTGTTCTTTTTTGTAAACAAAACCCTACCTTTTACAAAAAAATAAAGACGAGCCTTTGAGAGTTAAATCTCGCCACACCTGTATTGCCCTGCTGACTGAGTGGGGATTTGGCTTCTGTTCTGATTTCATTGCAAGGACAGGAGAGACCACAGGTTAGAGCAGGGGAGGCAACCTTGGCTCTTTTATGACTTGTGGACTTCAACTCCCAGAATTCCTGAGCTAGCATGGCTCAGCTTGGAAACCTCTCCCTTTCCCCTCAGCATGGCTGGCTCAGGAATTCTGGGAGTTGAAGTCCACAAGTCATAAAAGAGCCAAGGTTGCCTACCCCTGGATTAGAGGATCCATACAGAGAAACTTCCGTGTTCTACTCCAGCATCCTTTCTCTAAAAAGGCTGCTTTTTCGCGGGTACCTAGCCAGGCCTTTGGTGAGCTGCTTTAGCTCACAGTAAACGACACTGAATTAGATGTGGGTAAACCATCTGACTTGAAATGAGACTTATAAATATCCAACCCTCTGACCAGCAGCTGTCAGAGAATGAGGGAAAACACGCATTGCAGGTCTTTGCATGGGATAAATTGAGCTCATTTCCCCTTTCCACATACCTGTTGCTTTTCAGGTATGTTGGAGTTCAGCTTGAACGATGCAAATTGAAGTCCTATACAAGCCCAGAGAAAAACAGATGGTCTTGAAAGGAGAGGTTGAAACTCTGAAAGCTGCCTCTTTCCCAAAGAACTAGGGTTATTTATACAGGTGATCCTCAATTTATGACAATACAGGCATCCGTAACGGAGCCCAGAATTTATGTCGTACGTCACAACAGTTGTAAATCAAGGCACTCGTGACTGGACCCAGTTTTATGGCTTTTTTGAGGTTGAGTGAATGCCAAGAAAACACTGCTGCATCTAGCTGTAAAGCTGAGCCAGTTACCAGCTGCCCAAAATGTAGTCCTGTGAATGTGGGGGCATATGTGTGTGTGAAGTCAGAACTTGGGAATTGGGTTGTATGTAGCTCTTGGGAGGGCTGTTGTAACTTCGGACAGTTGCTAAGCGACTGGTCATTAAGCGAGGACTACCTGTTCTGTATACTTTGGATTTTAAGAGTTGTGTGCCCATGTTATTCATTGCTTTCATACTGAAGTATTTTTATATATATATAAACTAACAGACATGGATTGTTGTAAAATTTGGACCATGGAGGAATCTGACATGGGTTGAGAAAAAGATGAGTTCCCATTTAGAGGAAATTGTGTAAACAAGTAGATGCAGGTTTCTGCATTAACATCTGGATAAAAAATGGAAGATTTGATTGGGATGATGTAGCTCAGCGGTTCCCAAACTTTCCAGCCTGGTTGGGGGGGGGGAGGGGATTGCTCTGTGAGTGGCAGGCATGCCCTCAGCTCCCTTTGTGCAAGCTGCATTTCTGTGCAAGCGCCTGCCTCGCACACAAGTGGAGTTTTGCACACCTGCACTCACCCTCCTGGCCCAGTTCCAACTTTTGCTACGGATTCCGCAAGCAGGATTCCACAAGATAATGAGAGGCTCAACCTGGGAGCATCTATGGAAATTCTCAATCATTCAGGTTGAGCCAAAGTGTGTGTGTGTTTTTTTTTCCTAAAAGGCAACTGGACTTTCTTGGTGTTTTCTTTGAAAACATTTCGCATCTTATCCAAGAACTAAAGAAGCTTCTTGGATGAGAAGCAAAACATTTTCAAAGAAAACACCAAGGAAGTACAGTTGCTTTTGGGGGGAAAAAACACACATACAGAGACTTTGGCTCAGTCTGAAGTTCTAATATTTACCTCCCATTTGCAGCTATGGCAAGATAATGTAGGCCAGTGATGGCGAACCTTTTAGAGACCGAGTGCCCAAACTGCAACCCAAAACCCACTTATGCATCGTCGGGTGCCGGGTGGGTGTGGCACATTGGGTGGGCGTGGCCCATTGGGTGGGCGTGGCCCATTGGGTGGGCGTGTCTGCGCTGGTAACAGCAGACTGGGTGGGACTGAACAGTTCAATCAATCAATTCCAACTTTGCAAGATCTTTTTTTTCCCCCGCGAGAAGTTGAAATTGACTGATTGATTGAACCTTTTTTTTTTTGCACATGGCGGCAGAGGCCTAAAGCGAAAAGGTTTTTTAAAACCCTGCTGAAGGCCTAGAACTGGGGCGACGGCGCGCGTGCCTACAGAGGGGGCTCTGAGTGCCGCCTCTGGCACCCGTGCCATAGGTTCGCCACCACTGATGTAGGCAAACTGGATTAAGCACGCAAAGCAGAGCAGTCCTCAGCTGCAGGGAAAAATTTAACAGAGGAGGCGATGCAACCGAATCCTTCACCTTTTGCAGGGAAAGAAAATCCTGAAGATAAATCCATCGTGATCAATTATTGTAATTGTTGGTTGTCAGAAGAAAAGCAATAATAAGGAGCTACAATTTTTTTTAAAAAAGCTGTTCTTTCTGACAGGTGTCAAAGAAAATGTACACAATGGGGTGCTATGAGATTTCCCTCGGCGACACTATTGGTGTGGGGACCCCCGGCAACATGAGGGAGATGCTTTCTGCCGTCATGAAAGAGGTGCCTGTCGAAGCTCTCGCGGTTCATTGCCATGACACGTACGGACAAGCTCTTGCCAATACACTGGTAGCGCTTCAGGTGAGTTCTCCGTCTGTCTTTGAAGTAACCGTTGGACATAGTCCTTGACTTAACGACCGACACAAATGATATTGTCACAGATGGAAAATCAGAAGTCCGGGCAGTTCAGGTTTTATTGTGAGCTTATGCTCTCTGCAAGAATCTGAACAACTAATGATCAGATATAGTATAGGGGGTACCTTGCTCAATAGTAGTAACTGTGAGAGGGACCTTGGAGTCCTAGTGGACAATCACTTAAATAGGAGCCAGCCGTGTGCTGCAGTTGCCAAAAAGGCCAACACAGTGCTAGGCTGCATTAACAGGGATAGATTCAAGATCATGTGAAGTATTAATACTACTTTACAATGCCTTGGTAAGGCCACACTTGGAATACTGCATCCAGTTTTGGTCACCACGATGTAAAAAAGATATTGAGACTCTGGAAAGAGTACAGAGAAGAGCAACAAAGATGATCAGGGGACTGGAGGCTAAAACCTATAAGGAATGGCTGCTGGAATTGGGTATGTCTAGTTTAACGAAGAGAAGGACGAGGGGGGACATGATAGCAGTGTTCCAATATCTCAGGGGCTGCCACAAAGAAGAGGGAGTCAAGCTATTTGACCTCCCCCCCTCAGGCTCAGCCTGGTCATCTGCAGATGTCAATTCAAAGTTCCAGTGGTCAGGTCCCCTCTGCAGTCATGTGACCAAACCTCAGATACCCTGCGACAAAGCCCCACTGACGTCCATTTGCAGCATATCATAGTCACGAGACCCCATTTTATGACCATTAACAATATCTGAGCATTACAGGACTACAGGGCTACCTGTAATAAAATGCGGATTTATTCTTGCGAGGAAAACTCATTCAGGCTACCTGTAAAGCAGGGTCCACGCTCAACGATTCTTGCAAAAGATGTGTCTCTTTCCCACCTACCTTCTCTAAGTCAAAATCTGAGCATTAGGCAGCTCTGTTAATGAGAATGTTGGGAAAGGAGGCATACATACATAGGAGGATGCAGTAGTGCAGGTAAACTTTGCCCATAGCCTTGAGTTCGAGTCTAACCGGCTTAAGATTGACTCAGCCTTCCATCCTTCTGAGGTTAGTAAAATGAAGACCTGATTGTTGGGGGGCAAATTTGCTGACTCTGTAAACCGCTTAGAGAGGGCTGTAAAGCATTTTGGGGCGGTGTACAAGTCTAAGTGCTAAATGCTACATATATATTTTACCAGAAAGAAGAGAATCCTTATTTGAACCTTCAAAGGCTTGCACAGTTCCTAAGCTGTGATTTCTCATGATTAATTACAATGAGTGCAAATCATTCTTAAAAGGGTTCTGTTTCTGCTCGCAGATGGGTGTGAATGTGGTTGATTCCTCAGTTGCTGGCCTTGGAGGCTGTCCTTATGCCCAAGGAGCATCAGGAAACGTGGCAACAGAAGACATGCTGTACATGCTGCACGGCCTTGGGATCCACACAGTAAGTGAGAAGCTGCTTCGGTTCTCTCTCCTTAGCTGGCCATTGGAGGTAGGCAATCAGAGAAGAGCAACAAAGATGATCAGGGGGCTGGAGGCTAAAACATATAGGGAACGGTTGCTGGAATTGGGTATGTCTAATTTAATGAAGAGAAGGACAAGGGGGGACATGATAGCAGCCTTCCAATATCTCAGGGGCTGCCACAAAGAAGAGGGAGTCAAGCTATTCTCCAAAGCGCCAGAAGGCAGGACAAGAAGCAACGGGTGGAAACTAACCAAGGAGAGAAGCAACCTAGAACTAAGAAGAAACTTCCTGACAGTTAGAACAATTAACCAGTGGAACAACCTGCCTCCAGAAGCAGTGAATGCTCCAACACTGGAAGTTTTTAAGAAGAGACTGGACAGCCATTTGTCTGAAATGGTATAGGGTTTCCTGCATGAGCAGGGGGTTGGACTAGATGACCTCCAAGATCCCTTCTAAAATCATCATCATCATCATCATTATTATTTTGGATCATCGCACAGTCAGCCAGATATTCAGACTGGATTTGGCATTTTGTCTACCTATCGAGTCCTTACCCAGGACCTGGGATAGGCAGATGTGGATGTTTGATGGTATCACAGATCTCGTCGCAGGATGGAAGCAATTCCTAGTAAGGCCGCCTTTTGCATTTGACTAATGGCCAATTTGTCAATGCCGATGGTGTTCAAGTGGTGCTCCAGTTGTTTTGGGATTGCACCCAAGGAGCCTATTACTATTGGTACTACCCTTGCTTGCTTTTGCCACAGTCTTTCTATTTCTATTTGTAGGTCTTTGTATTTTGTTATCTTCTCCAGTTCTTTCTCGTCTATTCTGCTGTCTCCAGGCACTGCCACGTCCACTATCCAGACTTTTTTGTCTTTCTTATCGACAATTGTTAAGTCTGGGGTGTTATGTTGCAGGTGCTTGTCTGTTTGAATTCTATTATTATTAACCAAGCTTTCGTTGGATCTTCTTGAAATACTGAAAGGGTGAAAAATTAATTAGGTGGATAGCTTGGTGGCCTTTTTATTTCTATCCCACCTTTATACTTTTCTTTATAAGCAACACAAGGTGGTGATCATAGCCAATACTCCTTCCTCCGGCTGCTTTCTCTGCAAGAGCTCCCCATGAAGTGATCTGGACAGAGAGAAAGTGAATGGGCCAAGGTCGTCCACCTTGCGTTGATGGCTAAGCTAGAACTAGAACTCACAGCCTCTTACTTTCAAGCCTGGTGCCTTAACTCAACCAGTGGGCCGTGAATGGGGAAGCCAATCAGATTCATTTAACAGCCGCGTTGTTAACAACTGCAGAGATTCCCTTAACAATGGTGGCAAGAAGTTGGTTTGTGACAATAAAAGATATTTTATTAGTAAATGATGAGGTACTGGGACAGACATGTCAAACACAAGGCCCGGGGGCCGGATGCAGCCCGCGAAGTGGTTTCATGTGGCCCGCGAAGCCATCCTGGAAACAGTGAGGGAACGGCCCCCACTGCCTTGGCCCTGGCCCAGGCCAGCCGGGAGCACATGTACAATTTTGTGGTGGCCATCTAGGCTGAAACGCATTCAGTCTTAGCTCCACAAGCCCCCCCCCCCGCATGGCCTGAGAGGAACGGTGAGGCTCCTCCAGTGGACCGTGCCTTGGCGCTTGCCCCGGTCCCACCCCCTTCTGCCAGAGACCCTCAGATCTGTCCCACTCCTGCCCAGACCCCCACAGGCACCCTTGACGCGAACGATGTAGAGCTGGCCACACCCACTCCATCCACGCCCACCCAATAGGCCGCACCCACCCTGGCCACACCCACCCGTCCCCCTGAGGGCAATCACAATGCTGATGCGGCCCTCAATGAAATTGCGTTTGACACCCCTGTACTAGGATGAGAAATAGAATATACTTGTGAAATAAAGTAAGAATGTAATTATCTGAACAATATGTGTATTTTAGATACGATAACTATTTTGTAATGAAATTGGGAAAATTTGGGATACCCGAAGTCTAAATGTTATGGATATTAAAGGCTAAATTGGAACACGGTAATTGAAATTAGGTAAAACTTAAAAACAGGACTTGGATAGGTATAAGGAAAATTATATTGACAAATGTATTGATTGATTGAGCTATAACTAGAAATGTATTCACTTGAATGTGATATAATAATTAAGGGAAATAGAGAGGGAACTTGTAGTGACGCAACCTGAGGATATGCACGAAAGATTTTGTTACTAGACTGTTCATTACCCAATCACCATGCTGCTTCCTAAATACTTGGATGTAAAATTGAAAAATTAATAAAACTTGTTATAAAAAAAAAACAACGGTGGCAAGAAAGATCATAAAATGGGGCAAAATTCATTTAACTGCCTTAACTCAGCAACAGAAATGTTGGGTTTAATGGTGGTCGTGTAAGTTGAGGACTACCTGTATAGCTTTGTGGATGCAAAATAAACAGCTGTCCTTCCCCCCCCCCTCCTCTTTTTTTTTACCTGTAAAGGGTGTGGATTTATCAAAGCTCCTTGAAGCAGGAACTTACATCTGCAAGGTGCTGAACCGGAAGACCAGTTCAAAAGTTGCACAGGCCAGTTGCAAACTGTGAAGTAGATCCGTGCCTTTCCTGGACTTGCTGGGATGAAAACTGCATGGCAGTCTGGAAATTGCCATGTTAGTATTTGCTCCCCTAACTTTATTTAAGCACTCTCGAATGACCCAGACCTTAAAGATAAGAAGATGGAAGAATGTAGAACACCATATCTACCCATCAGACATGTTGGCTGTATTTGAAGATGGATGTTGCAGTTATTTTAAAGAGCAAATGTATTATTCTTGCCCTTGTTTTTGACCTAAGATTCTTGTTCTTGAAATCTGTTTTGTATCTAGGGCCATCACACTGCCCATGCTGGGCTTTCTAAAGGTCCTAACTGTCAGGACAAGCTTTGATAAGCTCTTGGATCATTATGATCCTTTTTAGATGCAGTGGTCCTGGGGAATTCTGGGAGTTGAAGTCCACACATCTTAAAGTAGCTGAAGTTGAGAAACACCACTCTATAGTGTTCGTTTTGTCAAGCACTGAAGCAAAAGATAAGCTGGGATTTCTCTCCAAATAAAAAAAATATTTTTACTCTGGATTTGAATGTTACTTGTGCCGTTTGATTTCTCCCCCCACACACACCAATGTTCTACCCAAGGGAATCAAAGGAGTAGTCAGAAGCAGTCATACAGGTAGTCCTCAGCTTAGAACCATTTGTTTAGTGACCCAAGCTTAGAATGGCACTAAGTGTGACCGTTTTTCACATTTATGGCATTGCAGCATCTCCATGGTCACGTGATCAAAATCCAGACGCTTGGCGGCTGGAAAGAATTTGTGATGGTTGCAGTGCCCCAGGGTCATGTAAGATAAGATAACTTTTATTGTCATTTTTTTTACTGTGGGCACAACGGCACACATCAAAAATGAAATCTTCTGACAAAGTGGGGAAGCCAGATTGACTTTACAACTATGTTAGTAGCTTAACAACTGCAGCGATTCACTAAATAACTCTGGTTAGCAGCTTCTGAGTGACAAAGATTGATGTTTGCAAATGTTTCTAGCAATCTTGCGAGGGGTCTGTCCATTTATGACTGAAATGACCAAGCACATCCTGGATCTGTTTGGCACTGATTAACTTGTTTCTGGACTTTCAACCTTGCAGCCTGGTGCTGTTCATCTCACTGAGCTTTGCACTTTAGCAGTACTCTTTTGGGGATTGATATTGGGGCCCAGCCCAAGTCCCACACAGGAAGATAAATAAGGTCCCAGACTGAAGCTCTGTGCCTGAATCTCTGGGGTGCTTCTGGATTCCCCCCCCCCCCAATATTTTATTAAGTTTTATCAGGGTAAGGGAAAACAAGGATGATTATAGGTAGTGGGATTCGGGATAGGGTTCAGGGAAGGGATTAGGGTGGGGATGGGTACAACAATGGGGAACATTCCAATAACATTCTAAGCTTTAGCAAGCTAACTATTGCCGACATACAAGTATTCAACAGGGTTAATTAATAAGTAGCTGTAGTCAAAAAAAAAAATTATAAAACATACCAAAAAAGAAAGTCAATCATCTTAATAAGTTTCACAAGCACTTTTCGTTAACTCGTTTTGCTAACCATTGATAAAAAATTTTCCCATGTTTTAAAATAGACTGAGTCTTCTTTCTCTTTAATCTCTAGTTTCTGGATTTTTGACACACTCACCTCCCCCCCCCATTTCGTTGTCTGAACTGGATGGTACATTTAGCCCAAGGGTGTCCAACTGTGGCAACTTTAAACCCTGTGGACTTCAAGTCCCAGAATTCCCCAGCCAGCCATGCTGGCTGGGGAATTCTGGGACTTGAAGTCCACATGTCTTAAAGTGGTCAAGGTTGGCTACCCTTGACTTAGCCACCAATGGTATCACCTTTACCCACAGCCCAAGCAAGACTAAAGTGTTTTCCACTCTTCCACTTTTTTTCAGCTCCAACCATTCTAAATTCCAGCTGGCTTTTCCCATATTGACTTTGTTGGGAAGGGTAGAAATAGTGTCCTATAACCCTGGGAAACTGCAACTATCATAAATACAGGCCAGTTGCCAATCACCCTAATTTGGGCCACCTGATTATGGGGATTCTGCAACAATCATAAATCAGTCGTAAGTCACTTTTTTTTCAGTGCCATTGTAACTTTGAACGGTCACTAAACGAACAATTGTAAGTCAAGAATTAATTACTTCTAATCAAAAATATAAAGGGAGATGTTGCTTTAAAGATGTGGCCACTAGAAGGCAGTATACTGCAACTTGTTGAACCTATCCAAATAGTGAATTAGGTGATTTAAATAACATTTACATTTAAATTATGGCATGTTATTTTGAAAAAATAATAACTATCTTCTTTTGTGAAAATAAAATAATTTTCATAGCATTGCTCCCAAATACTGGCCATGTTGATATATGTACCTACCCCCAGCTTCGGGAAGGCTTGTCTAAAAGACTCGGGAATTAAAAAGTGTGATGAAGACAACAGCTCTAGAGTCAGTATAAAACCAGGTGTTGCATCCGGGGCTTATTTTTAACACCCTTTCAAAACCCAGACAGTTTGTAGACGCATATAATGTTAATTTGCAAATCCAAACAGCTAAAACAGCAATTAATTATAGATAAAAGACCTTTCTGGACAAGGAAATGTCCAAGTCGAGTAGTCAAAATCAAGATGAAAATTTACAATTGACTACAATGTCAAATCAAGGGAGACACTAGGTTGTGGTTAGTCAACCAGCCAGGGTTGTAAAGAACTAGATTGCAAGTGTCACTATACACAAACCCAGGGGTCTTCAAACTTGACCCTTTATGACTCGTGAACTTCAACTCCCAGAATTCCTCAGCCAGGCACCGCTGGCTGAGGAATTCTGGGAGTTGAAGTCCACAAGTCATTAAAAGGCCATGTTTGAAGACCCCTGCACAAACCCGATGCTGGAATTGCTTCTAGCAAAAGAGTAGCAATAGCACTTAGACTTCTATACTGCTTCATAGTGCTTTACAGCCCTCTCTTACAGAGTCAGCATATTGCCCCCAGCAATCTGGATCCTCATTTTACTGACTTTCGAAGGATGCAAGGATGAATCAACCTTGAGCCAGTCAGAATCAAACTGCTGGCAGTCAGCAGAATTAGCCTGCAATACTCCATTTTAACCACTGTGCCACTACGGCAGTAGTGTTCCTGGGAAACGTAAATCCTCTCTCTGCTGAGTATACTTACTTTGCTGGTAAGTTCAGCATCGTGCTGCTTGCTCAGAAGTAACACACTCTGGCAAGGTGCAGAGATGCCAGGAGGAACTGCTTGGGGGAGGGGCAAGTAAGTGCCTGGAGCAGCCTTCATTGCAATTGAGTCAGACTCCAAGGGCATGGAACTAGGGTAGCTTCATTTAGCTGAACTATGGTATAATCACAATTGTTCATATTGAACGTAACCTTGAACATACAACTGTAGTAGGTCTTTGTGACTGACATATTTGACCCAACGCCCTGGAGGAAACCTTGCTTCAGTGTTAGAATCCATCTTTCTAAGAATCTTAATCAAAGAAATTGCATGATCTTAGCCAGAGATCCTAACTTCAGCCTGCTATAGATTAAGGCCCTAACTATGAGGAACCTGGAATCCAGTCTATTTTGTTAGATCAGGCTAGACCAGAACTGCCATGTAACTGGCGGGAAAGGAGAGGTCGTCTTCTCACCATTGCTGGCTGGCCACTGTTTTTTGCCAACTTGCCTAACGCTAGCCTTCTCTCCATCTCCTCCGAGCAAAACTGAATATACAACGTCAGGTTCTTGCTTCTGATTCATCCTTTTCTGACTTTTCAAAAAAAATAAAATGTTAAGACCTGGCTCTGCCAATTGGCATGTTGGTTCAAGAGTGTGATGTACTCCTGGGGATGGCTAGTGATTTGAGGAATCTCTCTCTGGCTAATTAAGTTTTTGAATCTTCTGAATTTTTTAACTTTGATTTTTAACTTTAGCTATAACTTTTAACCTTGTTAAATTTGGTTCTTCACTGGGCTTTCAGCCCTGTGTTTGTATTGCTTTATTGTTTATATTTCCTTTATTGTCCTGGCTCATGTGGTTAAGGATGCTGGTCTGGAAGTTAGCAAGCCCACGTTCAAGACCCAAGTGCTGCTCCCTCGCAGGGTGAGCTCCCATCATTCGCTCCAGCTTTTGGACGGGGACATGAAAAGAGCCCCCACAGCCATCTCCCTGGAAGTGCCTAAAAAGTGCCTCCGACATGAATGGGAAATGCCGCTGTAAACCACCCGGAGCAGGGATGGGCAACTACAGTCCCTCTACGACCTGTGGACTTCAACTTCACAGTGGAGTGAAAGTCCACAGGTTGTAAAGGGGCTATAGTTGCCGACCCCTGACCAGCGTCACTTAGGTGAGATGGGCGGTATAGAAATTTAATAAATAAATACAAATATTTGATAAATACAAGACAAGTCTCACCATTTTGTTCAGACTACGTGGCTTTGGTCCTGCCCACAGTCGAAGCATAGCATCTTAAGGGTTTTTCCATCCTGTTGTGGGATAGGAAAAATAACGGCTGTCAATCTCAAAACAGAGCTGTGCTGTTAAGATTCTTTATCCTATCTTCAGATACTTTCATTATGTGTAAGGACCAAACGTATGGCACTGTATACAGAATGGATAGTACCTACATTTGTACTTTTGGTTAAGTGTGGAATTTTTGAAAAAAGGTTGTTACTGAAAAATAATTTCATTTTGCATTGTCCCTAAGCAGCCTCTATAGTCTAGACCAGGGGTAGACAACAACCTTGGCTCTTTTATGACTCGTTTCAATCCCAGAACTCGTGGACTTCACTCGTGGACTTCAACTCCCAGAATTCCTGAGCCAGCATGAGGGAAACTTTGGCCCCTTCATGACTGGTGGACTTCAACTCCCAGAATTCCTGAGCCAGCATGGCTCAGCTTGGAAACCTCTCTCTTTCCCCTCAGCATGGCTGGCTCAGGAATTCTGAGAGTTGAAGTCCACAAGTCATGAAGGGGCCAAAGTTTCCTTTATGCTGGCTCAGGAATTCTGGGAGTTGAAGTCCCTGAATCATGAAGGGGCCAAAGTTTCCCTCATGCTGGCTCAGGAATTCTGGGAGTTGAAGTCCACGAGTCATGAAGGGGCCAAAGTTTCCCTCATGCTGGCTCAGGAATTCTGGGAGTTGAAGTCCACAAGTCATAAAAGAGCCAAGATTGCCTACCCCTGGTCTATAAACATAGTCTTGCACTTACAACCATTCAGTCTCTATTTGAAAATGCAATAGCACTGAAAAAGGTGATTTACAACCAATACTTGCACTTACAATCACCCACGATCATGTGATCAAAATTCAGGTGCTTGGCTTCTGGCACATATTCATGATGGTTGCAGCATCCCAGTGTCACGCAATCACCATTTACTACTTTCCCAAATGGCTTTCATGAAATAAAGTCAATGGGGAATCCAGGTTCATTTCACAACCCTAGCAAACCGTGGTTCACTTACTGATGTGGTTCACTTAACAACTGAGGCAAAACTTTTTGTAAAAGCAGGCACAACTCACTTCAGCCACCTCGCTT